AACCTCAAGAACGGCTTCAGGGCGCCTCGCTCGATGAAGTCTCCGACTACAAGAGTTCAACATGACTGTGGTCTACAAGTCAGGTCGCAAGCACCGCGACACCGACTGCCTGTCTCGAGCGCCCGTCAAAACACCTTCCGGCAGCAGCGACGACGATGAAGACGAGTGCTTTCTAGGCGCAGTGAACACCGACGACATGGCACGACGTCAACGAGACGATCCTGAGCTGCGAGCACTAATAGAGCGCCTGAAAGGGCGCGGGAGTACCATGCCATGTGTTTTCTCACGAGCCCTGTCGACCTTCGTCATGCGACAAGGTGTACACTACAGAGAGAACTTCAGAGACAACAACTTGTCGTGGCATGCCTATTAATCCCGACTGACCTTCGAGAGGAGATCTTCCAAGCCTGCCACGACGACGCGACGTCCGGACACCTTGGTTACAGCCGGACACTGGCCCGTATTCGTGAAAAGTATTACTGGCCCAAGCTCCCCAAGATCGTCCACCTATACACACGATCATGCCACGAGTGCCAGCGACGCAAGAAACCTCTGACGAGGCCGGCCGGACTCCGGCAGCCAATTTCTCCTCTAACTGCACCCTTCCAGCAGGTCGGAATGTATCTACTTGGCCCTTTTCCGCCGTCTACGTCGGGGAACCGCTTGATGATCGTCGCCACAGATTATCTCACTCGGTACGCCGAAACGAAAGCCCTTCCTTCAGGGACTGCTGTGGAAGTTGCCAAGTTTTTCACAGAGTCCATCGTCCTCCGGCACGGCGTTCCAGAAGTTCTTATTACAGATCGCGGATCATCGTTCATGGCACAGCTGACCCAAGAAATCCTCCGACTCAGTCACTTCAGCCATCGTCGTACAACTGCGTACCACCGGCAGACCAACGGGCTGACGGAGCGACTCAACACGACAAGCGCCTTCGTGATCTCTATGTACGTCGACGTAGAGCACAAGATGTGGGACGAGGGGTTGCCCTACGCCACGTTCGCCTACAATACGGCGGTTCAAGAGACCACTGGATTCACACCCTTCCAGCTGCTACATGGTCGAAAAGTAACGACCATGCTGGACGCGATGCTGCCCCATGAGCCAGCTGACAGTGGGAGCGACGACGCCCAGGTGGTTGCTCAACAGGCCGAATAAGTTCGCCAGCTCGCCCGACTCCTGATTCAAGACCAGCAACGCGTCGACGCCGGCCGCTACAACCTTCGTCGCAGGGAAGTCCACTTCCAGCCCGGAGACAGGGTGTGGGTGTGGACGCTCATCCGTCGCCGCGGCCTCAGTGAGAAATTGCTGCAACGATACTTTAGACCATACAAGGTACTTCGTCGCCTCGGGGAGCTGAACTACGAGGTGATGCTTGACGGAGCAAGGACATCATCGCGCTGTCCACCACGACCTGAAGTCGTCCACGTCGTTCGTCTGAAGCCGTACTACGCTCGATAGGACTGTGGACCTTATCTGTGCCAAAAGGCTCCTTAGTTCGCCGTTTCTTTTTATCTGCTTTGTTTTGTTTTGCGTTTCATCGGGGCGATGCTCTTTTTAAGGGGGGAATTAATGCCGCGCGGCGCAGGTGGCCAAGCAGGCAGCGCGCTCGTGGCCTAACGGTTATCGCGCGTGCCTTCCGCGCAGAAAGCCAGGGTTCGATTTCTAGCCGCGAAGACGCATTTTTGTGGACTATAACGTAATGCTCGAGTAAAGTCGAGAACCGCGTTGCTGATTTGAGGTTTGAGTGTTCGACACGCCGAACCTTCTACGCCGATTGTTCCAGAAGCTCACGCGTGTACAAAAGGGGCTCCGCGTGGCAAGCCGGAGCCAGTTTCGCCCCAGCGCTCGACTCTGCTGTCACGCCGACTTCGACGCCCGCGACGCACTGTTTTCTTGTGATCCCTTTTTATTTTTCGGCACTAGTTCACCCCAGTAAACGTTTAGTTTCTTCAGTTATTATAGCCGTATCAGTTGTAATTCGTGAAAATATGTAATTCTACTAGACCTTCAGAAATCCGCTTGTCCAACGATGTTAAAAGAGATGTTACATAAAACAGGGGTGACGCACGAACCAATACAAACACCAGAGTTTAGTACAGAAAACTGCGCACTGATGCTAACGGCAGTAGAGCCTGAATAAAATTCTAAAAGCTCTAAAATCTTTTGACTACTGATACCTACAGATTTCTGAAACAACACCTCCCCAGACTCATTGATCTTGTTCCACACAGCGTTCAGTAAACCTTCGTGCGGAACAGAATCGTACGCGTCTTCAACATCAACTGAAAAGGTCGTGACTGCCTTGTGTATCCGTTGCTTTTTAATTAGCACGCTGCCTACAATCCTCGTCTCGAAAAACCGTTCGAACAACGATAAGCACTAGCGTGCGAAAGATTCATACTAACCGGAGTTGCCGGTGAAAGTCTGCTGGACGCTTACAACATAACATTATCTCTATATTATTAGTATATAATGTACGGTGATATTGTATAAAATACCCGATTGTTTCTTTAAAAACTGAGAGGTACAAAACACGTTGAAAACACTTCAACGTAAACAACCTAAACGTACCTACGACAAAAGAAAATAAATCTCGTGATGATGTTTGAACCAAGATTCACAGAATGCGCTGGGGTAGCGCAGTTTCGACGTAAATTACACTTTAATGGTTTTACAAGTGACAACAAAAAAAGCCATTTTAGATTTGAAGAGAAAACGAAACCACAACAAAACATGTCCGCGCCTTTCATCTAAAATATATTAGTTGTTATTTGAAACTTGAATTACATTTGCTGCCATGAGGCACAAATTCACCTGCTAGAAATCCTTAACAAAGGAAAGCAAGCCCGCTTTTTTATTTTTATTTTTTACTAGACATCGCCGGAAACAATCGAGAGATTTATCGCGCCATTAGGAATGCTGTTAATTGATTAAAAAAGCAACTGAGGAAATAAATCTTTTCTTTCATTAATCTGGTGTGCCCTGAAACCGGAAACATTCGCCTTAAATTAAAACCGCAGTCGATATTTTACAGATTTCTAAGCCCTAACAGTTTGTATTGAGTCTTTTTTTTTAAACCTAATTTAGCTCTGTCTTAGGCGTCCAAGCATGTGTCAGCTTGGCGCGCTTTACTTTACCCTACTTTTTTTAAAGTTTGTTTTCTTATTTTTTTATTGCGACGCTTCTAATTGTAACATGCTGCGTATGCTGTGCTTCTATCGCTGCGTTGCTGGCGTAGATCATTAGCGTCGCTTTAGCTGTTTCTAATCTAGGCTTCTGCATTTGCGCCATACGCCTGCTCGGCCCCTTACTCGAAGACGAAGTAAGCGCTGTTTCTTTGACGTGAAATATCCCAGGTCATGCTACCCAAACTCGGTGTCTGCGAAACAGGTATTTCTTTTTTATTAATTTTTGTTCACGTACATCTTTGAAGATGAATATAGTGTTCTAAGGGGCTTTGGTGATTTTTGAAAACACCAAGTGTATAGTTAACGTTTGTTTTGCCCTATCGATAGAGACGCAAACGTATTCTCTGCAATCGCTCTTGTGTCAACGAAATAACATGATGTCAAGGCAGCGGAGTTTAGAAATATTCTCTTTTTCTTGAGGTGTCTTTTCTAGCTACCATTTTGAGATGCCAAAGATTACAGGGCATATATACATATTGTATGGAGTGTATTCGTTTCTGGTAACCTTTAAGTGGCAGCGTCCCACAGGATAAGAAACGTCCAATCTAAAACGCTCGTCTCCTCATTATGGTAGCAGTATAATTTTCCTGCCTGATGTATATAGATAGTTCTAAAATAATTCGAATACGTAGTACCTCAATGTAACACAAATGAACTGCAACAAAGCATGTAGTTGGGATAGCTGGTGGGGCATACTTGTTTGGTGGGAACAGCGCTAAAATGCGTAGGACCAGGCCGAAGAAACGCACAGACAGGCTGCTTTGTGAAAGTGCTAATTTTAGGACACATCCGGATTTGTAAGTGCAAATTTAATGGCAGTGTACGCGAACTCTTCTTCGGTTATTTTCAATTTTCGGTTTCACTGAAGCAACTCGAGGGTGACGCTGTTTATTATTATCTGTGGCAAAACACCGAAATTTTCAAAATAATTATTATGAATGTGATTTTATTTTGTTTGTTTTAGTCTAAACGAGGAAGCTGCGCGGGTAGAAATTGAGAAAGCGGAGGAGACGAGAGAGCGCGGGGACACCGGAACACTGACCTGGTTGGAATGATAAGTGGGTAGACCTAAAGCTATAGCTGCCCTTGTCTTTACTGCCATGGCCTCCTCTATACTGACATAGCGTGGCAGATCACCACGAGAAGCGGCCGCCGAAATGGAAAAGGTGGAGCGGCAGACGACGGATAAGAGGAGAGCCACGTGACTGGCGTTCTTTGCGGCGAGACGCCGAAACACACTCCTTCCGAGCGAAAAAGTGTTTTGGGTCCTCGCTGCTGCAGTAGCTGTGCGCTGACGTCCAGGTTTCCCGAAAATGGCTCTTTGATGCTCTGTGCTACCAAATCCTCGTGCTCCAAATCTGCGACCGGGCACTCTATGGCGCCGTCGTCAAACTGCCAGGCTTTGTGAGTATAGAGGAGGCTATGTCACTGCACCCAACTGCGTTAGGAGGAAGAGCTCCGTCCTCCGGCGTCTAGCGTTCGCGTTTGAACAGGTTCGAACAGCGCAGTGGAAACAAAAGCAGCTAGCTTTACGTCTTCCCACTAGTCATTCCAACCGGAACTCGTTGTTCTAACGTCTCCGCGCGCTCTCAACTCCTCCTCTCCATCAGTTTCTTCCCGCATAGCCACTGACACATTAACGCGGGGTGTCAAAACTGAGCCGATTGTACGAGGTGCACAACCCAGGTAGCTGAGTGTCCCGCACCGCACTGCACGGCCGTTCTTCCCGATCGCGAGATCCTCGTGTTTCTTGTTTAAGACTGCCTTCCCCTTTCTTCTCGTTTCCCCTTTCCCCTTCCGCATCTCCAGAGGGAAAGGGACCGCGGTTCCCACATTTCCTACATGTTCCGCCTCCCGTTTGCGGCCGGCAACGTTTTCAGCGCTAGTATGCTGGACACGCTGCTTTACCAGGTCAGTGAACGCTCTTTCTTCCCAAATTTGGTAAGCTTTTTTTTTTTCTTTAGGAACGTGTTTTGTTTTTTGTTTACTTTGCTTTTAAACACCCCTGTCACGAGACACACGCGTGTGTCCTGTGTAACAAGTACGTGTCACAAGAAATGCGTGTGTCGTACGAATCTGGTGAGTGTCACACTAAATGTGTGTGTGCCGTAAGAACTACGTGCGTGTCATAAAAAGGTGAATGTCGTGAGAAACGCGACTGTGCGTGTCACCAGAAGCGTGGGTGTCACGAGAAATAAGTTCGTAAGAGGTACAAGGACGCCAGCGTGGGTCACAAGAAATGTGCCTGTGTCATGAGAAGCGCGTGGATATCTCGAGAAATGCGGTACAGTGTTGAAATATATGTGTTGTGAGAAGCACTTCTGTGTCACTCTCTCACCGGGCATTTGTCCGTCGCGAGAAGCGCCTGTTTGTCAGAACGTGTTATGTCAGCAAAAACTTGGTTTATCTGTCGCCAAAATTGTGTGAGCCGGTCGGTCGACATTGAGTCCATGTGCCCCATTGCCTTCCTCACATCTACATGTGAGCTATAGTCATCGATATCTTAAGAGAATGCAGGGCGTTGCTTATTATAATAACGATTCATGCTTCTTGATTCGTTCATTGGCGTTCTTATCGACTAATACCACAACCAGATTTGCTAAAGAACGATACGAAGATGCTCAGGACTTGCAACGCCCTGCCTTTCTGGAGCTGTCGATGGCAATGGGAAATGGCATGTCCATCCTGCAAAATGTGCTTCGTCGTTCGCACTGATCGTCGTTACTACTTGAAGCTCAGTGGTGATTGAAGCATAAAAATATTTACAAAGTGTCCCTAAAAAAAATCACAAGTTTGTTTTGTGTTTTGTTTTAATAAATTAAGCATTGCCAAACGCTCATTCTCCACCCGAATGTAGCGCTAGTGGCTCGTATAAGATGCTAAAGTCTCAGAACAAACCGTTATCTTATTCGAAGGTTATAAGTGATTTTCTTACCTTTTCAAATTTGAAAATGGCGGCCGACGCGGCTTTCGAATACGTGGAGCTGAATGGGCACCATGTATTCGAGAGCTCCGTCGGTCGCCATTTTCCCATTGAAAATTTAAGAAAATCGCTTTTAACGTTCGAACAAGATAACGGTTTGTTTTGAAACTTTACCATCTGATTTGGACTGCTAGCATTACATTTTGGGCTTTCCGCGCAGTTGAGAGTTCGGAAATGTTTAGTTTATTTTTGTATTTAAAAAAAAATATATTAAATTTTTGAGGGGTAGACACTTTGTATTCGAGCTTCCGCCAAGAGTTGCAATATCTACCCACTGTTAAAAACAGCATACGCACCCACGCGCAGATCCTTAGAACGTGTGTACTACCTCAGTCAATGACATTTTAAAAGGGTCGTTCCTATTCTCGTTGTCTCTGGTAATTCTATCGCAATGGTATGCTCACTTTCAGGTATGGTCGTACACTGCGCTGCCTTGTCTGATACTGCTCGTGTCTTTCTACTTAGGCCTTCGTTAAAGATTACGTGATCACCTTCGTACGCCTTTTGCTGGGGGTCGATCAAGCACCCGGATCGGGCTTTCTGTCGTCGGTGAGTAACACTTTAACGTATATATATATATATATATATATACAGGTTTTACCATCATGTGTAGAAATGAATTAACCTTAAGCGAGGTTATACAGTCAGCGAGTGTTCCAAAGGTCGTTTGTGGCACATTAGGACGCAAGGGGGGTGGGGGGGGGGGGGGGGGGGGGGGGGACGCCTATCTAAAGGCAGCATAAAGAACGTACAGGGAGTGCGCGATGACGACGCAGCCAAGCGCACGTCGTCATTCGTTGAAGTCGGGGGGTAAACAAAAGCACGCGGGCATATTTCGAGGGTAAACAAACAGAGTGCGTGAAGAGTGAACAAATTTCCATGCCATATAGACGTTGTTCGTTTCCTTTCGTTCTCAGTCGCGTGGGTTCCATATCTGGTATGCGGGACAAAACAAGAAAATAGCGGGACATTTCAACCTGGAGTATGCGAGAAAATATAGGTGAGGCAAAAGAAGCATGTGCGCCAATCACGAGTTTTGTTGTGGGCACCTTCCAACGACGTGGAGAGATCAAAACGATGCTTTAACGCATACCAGAAGGGACGACATTCAATATGGCTGCGCCCTTGTGGAAAATGTGTATAGGGAACCATCACCTCTTTCACTCGAGCTTGAACAGACTATATGCATGCCGGTAGGAGATAAATAAAAGAAACAGCCGCCCCTTTTATTTTTTTAAGGGAAACTTGTTTACTTAAAAGTACAACTTTTACAATTTACATATTTACGAAACACAACTTGCATCATTCACGCATGGCCTTCATTCTATCGTTGACGTTTGCTCCAAAGTAGATTGCATATTTCTAGACTTCTCCAAAGCCTTTGATAAGGTGCCTAATACCTTACTCTTGTCCAAGCTTAGTAAACTAAATATTGATCCGGCGGTACTCACGTGGATACATTCATTTCTAACGAACCGTAAACAATTTGTCAACGTGAATAACACAAGCTTTGCTATGGTATCAGTAACATCAGGCGTTCCTCAAGGCTCTTTGCTCGGTCCGTTATTATTCCTTATTTACATTAACAATCTACCCTCTCATGTATCCTCAAAAATGTTTTTATTTGCTGACGACTGCGTTATTTATCGAGAAATTACTCATGATTCTGATTCTAACCTACTACAAAACGATATTAACTCTGTTTCCAACTGGTGCGACTCGTGGTCCATGGTACGAAATTCTAGCAAATGCAAGGTTATGAGAGTGTCCCGTTGTACTTCATCTCAGCCCCATTATACGCTAAATAACCATCTCTTTGAATTAGTTACCGCCTATAAGTATTTAGGAGCTCATATTGTATCTGATTTATCATGGAGGACGCACATTAACTACATCATTAACAACGCTAATCGCATGCTAGGTTTTCTTAAAAGGATTTTTTTTTAGCACCCCAGTCTTTGAAGCTAATTCTTTATAAAACCCTTGTACGACCAAAGCTTGAATATGCATCTTCTGTTTTGGACCCTGGTCAGTCTGTACTAATTGATTTGATTGAAGCCGTCCAAAATCGTTCTGTTAAATTTATATTTTCGAATTACCATCGGACAGCCAGCGTAAGCACTATTAAGTCTAATCTATCTTTCTCTCCCTGAATCGCAGAAGACTCGCAGAAAAGTAGCCCGTCTAAGTTTGTTTCATAAAATTTATTTTACTAATGAGACTATGCGTAATAAGCTAATTATACCTTCTCTTTGCGTTTCACCTAGACTTGACCATCAATACAAAGTTGGCATCCCATATGCTCGCACCAACGTCTTTCACCATTCCTCGATACCGTCTACATCCTTTGACTGGGACCACCTGGCTGCACCCGTAGTCTCGATCATAGATCACGACCTTTTTAAAAAAAGCCTTGGAACGCATTTTTTTCTAATCTACACTGATTGTATTTCCTGTGTATCTGTGTCTGTGTTTTGTTGTTTTTTTTTTGTTTTTTTTTCAATATCTCATACCTCATGCAACCACTTCCCCCTCTGTAATGCTCACGCCCTGAGGGTAAAATAAATAAAGAAATAAATAAAGCCAGAAACATTTAGGGTTCAATTATATACCATCACACCTACCTTTCGCGCACTCTTGTTCAATGTAAGCTGCGAATATTGCCTTCTAAACCGCGTGGCCGCAACATCCGCCATGGAGCATGTGTAAGCTCGGCTCCTTTAGCATGAGCTACCCTGGCTAGTTCCCGATACTATCCAGGGATACCACCAGCGGAAAGGTTAGCGAAGCGTAATTATCATTTAATGCGAGATGTGCGCTACCGTTATTACTCTTCGCCTCGGTGTAATCTACTATACATAGTCAGCGATCGACCAAACAAACGCAGGGCGCGAACTATTATTATAGTCACGCGTTTTTCCTCCTGATTCGTCCTTCGGCGTTCTCATCGGTTAGGGCCGTATTCTCATTGGCAACGCGGAATGGCAGTAAGGTGATCGGACTCGTACCGCCTTGCATTTTTTTAAGCTTTCATTGATCATAGTTAACACCGTCCGGCGCGTTTCCTGTCCCACTAGCAGGCGGCAAGCTGATGCAGGTGGAGAAAGCGGCAACGAGTGCGCCTTGTTCTCAGCGCGCATCGAGCTTCACGAAACCGTCTACGGGTGTCATTAATAGTACCACGTTCCAAGCGCCACCGTGTTTGTCGAGTATTGGACGGGATAGTACTTTTTTTTTTCTATGTGTAAAGACTCCGGGTCTTCTGTCCTGTGAGGTTATTATTTCATTTCATTTATTTCTCCTTAAGGGCCCTGTGGGGCATTACATAAGGGGGGGGAAGCTTGTGGAGTAATACAGAACATTTAAAAACAAAAATAGAACAAACAAAAAATTGATGTAAAATCAATAGTCACGGTAATACATGTTAAAATACTTAAAATTTATTGGATATGTGCAGTCACTGATTGGGCGAAAAGCGGATTGGTCAGTAATAAGGATGATTTTTTCAGGAAAAGAGTTCCAGATAGTTATGGCATGAGGAAAGAAGGGCGTATTAAAGGCTAGCGTTTTGCCTGTTATGCGTTTGATGCAACGGCTGTGATTGAGGCGTGACGAAATTCTGTCAGGAGGTGATATCAGGGAGTCAGATAAGTTTGTGCTGGTGTGGTAAACTTTATGTAAGAGACATAATCGCGAGATTATTCTGCGGTCAGAGAGCAGTGGAAGCTCGAGAGTAAGTTTAAGCTGTGTCACCGCGGGAGTATGCTGATGGAATGAATCGGGCTGCACGATTTTGAATTCCTTCCAGACTGTCGCTGAGGTAAGCTTGTGATGGATGCCAGATGGACGAGGCGTACTCGAGCTTGGGGCGGACGAATGTAGTGTACGCTAGTTGCTTTTGGTGAGAAGGTGCTGATTTTAGATTCCGCTTTAAGTAGCCGAGAGTCCGCGAAGCATCAGCAGTGATGACGTCGATATGACGAATCCAAGAAAGTGTGGAAGACAGATGGATACCGAGGTACTTGTATGAGGGAGTAGAGCAAATTGAAACACCATCAAGTGAGTATGCCTAAGAAAGAGTAGATTTTTTCCGCGTGAATGATAGAAGTTTGCACTTCTCGTAGTTAAGAGGCATAAGCCAACGATCGCACCAAGTGTTAATTCTTTTTAGATCCCTCTGCAGGGTGATATGATCAGAGCAGTTTGCGACTGGACGGGTGGCTAAAATAAAGGAAAGAAGAATACTGAGAACATTGATGGCGCATTTGGTCTTCCTCTGAAGTGCACCTTAGCAAGTTCAAATGCGAACTTCCAGTCAACAAAAAATATATCAGTTTCTTTTTTTTTTTTTTTGTTTTACTACAGATGCGAATTACGAAGGAAGACCTCTGGATCCGAACATACGGACGGCTTTATCAAAAGCTTTGCTCGACCACGTGCGAGATTCCAATCGGCATCTACAGGACACAAAACACAACCAACCCTGAAGGATCCGCAGTGAGTAACCAATTCTTTCTTTCTCTTTCTCTCTCTCTCTCTCTCTCTTTATATTTCTCACTTCTGTTCTGTGGATAAGGTTTTGTCACAGGCGAGGAGGAGTGAGCCACTCTTCCGTTGTGTAGTATATGCTAACAGGTTATACATAATGCACCCATTATGTATAGGGTCATTAACGATAAAAATATTACGTTGTTTCAAAGTTTAGTCGAGGAGGAAAACTGGAGCTTCGTTCTTCGGTTGGATGATCCCGTTGCAGCACACGACTTATTTTCTACAAGAATTAAGATACTATATGATCAAGCGTTTCCAATGGTTCCATTTAAAAGGAACAGGAAGTCTAGAAAGCCTTGGATTGATGCCGCACTTCTTAGGAGAATAAAAGAACGAGATAAGCTCTTCGCCCTTTTTATAAAAACAAAACATCCGGATTATCTAGCTGAATTTAAAAAGAGCAGAAATAAACTAGGCGCTGATATTAAACGAGCACGAAATGTGTATCATGAAAATAAGTTCGCAGATATATATAATAATCCCAGAAAAGTGTGGAAAAATGTAAACGACCTACTTTCCAAAAACGAAAGAAAAAATATTTCTCAGCTTATATTTGAAGGCATGTCCTGTACAGGGGCTAAGCTTGCTGATAAATTTAATGCCCACTTTTTGATGTCCGGTGCTTCCCCTGGCAATTTTATTAGTAGTTGTGATTACGAATCTTACATCTCACCGGGTATTGAGAGTTCAATATTTTTGTTTCCTACTACTGAAACCGAAGTATACAGCCTAATACACAAACTTAAGAATAACAGTGCTTGTGGTGAAGATGGTATAAAATCCCAGCCTATAAAATCAGTTGCTCACTTAATTAGTGGGCCAATCTCACATATATGTAATCTAATTCTGAGTACCGGCATATTTCCCGATAAATTAAAGATAGCAAGAGTGTCGGTGATTCACAAAGGAGGTGATAAAAATGACCTAAATAACTACAGACCAATCTCCGTTCTTCCCATTTTTTCCAAACTCATAGAAGGAGCTATTAATGCACGACTAATAAATTTTTTTAAACAACATAATGTTATAGCTGAGCAACAGTACGGCTTTCAGAAGCAAAAATCGTCTGAATTGGCGCTGCTAAACATAAAAAATAAAATAATTGACAATTTCGAGCAGAAGTTATACACAGTAGGAGTGTTTCTTGACTTCAAAAAGGCGTTTGATTCAATCAAGCATCATATTCTTTTCGGCAAATTGTCCAAATATGGAATTAGGGGAATCTCACTTAGTTTAATAAAAAGCTATTTATCGAATCGGTCACAGTATACAGACATAAATCACGCGAGGTCAAATATGGGTAAAATAGAATACGGTGTCCCGCAAGGGTCCATTCTTGGCCCTCTCTTATTTTTAATCTACATAAATGACATTATAAGAATACCTCAAACACCAGATATAATTTTATATGCTGATGACACAAACATATTTTTTTCTGGAAGAAGCCTAGAAGTACTCGAGCACGAAACGAACGCATGGCTTGAAAATTTATCATCGTGGCTTAGAGCAAACCAAATTCAATTAAACACGAAAAAAACAAAGTATATTATATTTCGACCACGAAATAAATGTATTCAGCAGGAGATTCAAATTCAATTTCAAAGCGAAATCATCGAACGTGTTATATCACATAGGTTCTTAGGTGTTCTGTTTCATGAAACTCTAAATTGGTCTTTCCATGTGCAGAGAATAAGAACGGAAATCTCACGCTCTATCGGGATTATCTATAGACTTAAAAATGTGCTGCCTCACTGGGTAAAAAAACAACCATATTATACCTTAGTTCATTCACGTCTTCACTACTGTCTCCTTGTATGGGGGACCACAGTAAAAACAAATATAGAAACCCTGCACATATTGCAGAAAAAGGCCCTGCGCTTGGTCGAAAATGCCCCGTACCGGAGTCACTCTGCTCCGCTCTTTAGAAAGCACCGAATATTGACTATTCAAAATGTTATAAATAAAAAATTATCTTTATTAATCTATAATCAAATCAAATTAGAACCAACTGTCTTTTTCAGTACGTATCTTTGGACAGATCATCCCTACAATTTTCGGCACACCAGCTACAGAAGGCAAAAAATACGCACAAACTATGGCATACAAAAATTAGATTATCAAATACCTGTACTTCTGAATGACCACCCTGATATCATGACCATTATTCTGGGAGGTATGTCTATACAAGCTTTAAAGAAAAACATAAATGTCTATCTATTGTCCCTTCAAAAATAACATGTTTTTTTTTCAGTATTTTTTTTTTTGTGCGCGTATGTTGTTTTTTGTGCAGCATCTCTTTGTAGAGATGGCTGGCTGGCTGCACTATGTTGTTGTTTGTGGCCCCTTTGTTTGTCATGTTTGTGCAGGCATAAAAATTGATGTGCCTCGTTGTTGTTTGTCTTACGTGGGGGAGAGTCTGGTTTTAGTTCATTGTTTTCTCTTTGTTTACAGTGTTCTGTACCGCTTATGGGATTTTATGTTTGATCTTTCATGATCAAGTAGTTTTCGTCATCTAAGTCTTTCATTTTGTCTGGACGTGGAGATGGCGGGGGGCTGTCGCCTTGTCAGGCATGTCGATGCCTTTTGTGACGGCCCCCCAGACAGCTGTATTCCTCGAGGGTTGTCTAAAAAAAAAAAAAAATAATAAAAAAAAAAAAGGTTTCGCGCCTACTTTTCGAGGATGGGAGATAATTTTCAGTTTAGTTTTGATTTTCCCGTTTAAGCCTCATCTATACTCCGTGTAACTAGTTGTGTGCAATGCAGGCGAAGGCAACGACAAGTAAAGAGCGAAAGCGCGAACACTTGGAAGGCCGAACGGAAGTGGAGGAGGGGGGAAGGGGGGGGGGGGGGAGGAAGGGAGATCACTAATAACGTTAGAGAGGAGAGGAGGTTTATCTCTACCTCACCAGCCTTCCTTGTGCTTGCCTTTTCTTCCTTCGCCTGGTGTTGTCTTCGTCTGTACTGCACGCAACTAGCGATACGGAGTATAGTTTCAACTTCAACCCGTTCGTCTGTTTTAAATTGTAGCTACGAGGTCGCGCGCGTTCTTACGATGCGTTCCAAGAGGCGCGAGTCACCCATTTCTCTGCTTCCCACTTGCGCTAAGAGGTGGCGTTGTCTCGCGTAAATTTACAAAGAATTGAACTACAATAGAATGGATATGTGGGCTAGTTGTGAGATAAGGAATAGTTAGGGTACAAAACAACGTAAGGAATGGAATTCCCTGTTTTGTGAGATGGTTCGTGCCGCAACCGCGTAAACTGTTAATGCGTTAGCATTAGAACGCTCGTTTTGTCGAAAATTCAGCAGTGTCTTTCGTTTGTCAACGCCGGCGAGAGAGGGAGAAGGAGGCGTAGAGGGTGATGCGTGCGACGCTCTCATTGATCCGAAGCGCTGACGTCAGCATGCGTCAACCACTCCCTCTCTTTTTGGCGCCGACAAACTGACAGACACCGCAGGGTTTTCGTCAAAACGAGCCCTTCACGCGCATAGCTGGCGTGAAGTCAGTGAGCAAGAGTATAGTTCCTGTTTAGGTTCCCTACGGGAGCCAGAGTTACGTGTTTGTTTTCCGCGTGCTGCCGCGCCGCTATTCACCGATATCCGATCACGTGAGGAGCCGGATCGAATTCCGTGCAGGAACGTAGACTTTGCACATGCTGTGCAGGAAGGAGGGCGCTACGGTCATGAACCCGCAACTCTGGCTCCCGTAAGGAGCCTATACAGAAAGAAACTCCAAGCAGGCGGCCCCTCGCGCGCCGTGGCGCGGTTTAATGCGCGCCTGCTCAGTTGCCGTTTAGCCGTCGTCAGTTGTTCTTCGCTCTAGGTTTCCGTAGTAGTGGTGCGTGGGCTGTGATGTGTGTGTGTAGTTAAGACGATGGATGCGGTTCCCTCCACGAGTGATATGAATGCGATTGCTCCCACGAGTGGTACGAATGTGGTTGTTTCCACGACTGATGTGGATGAAAGTATCCAAGGGCTTTGACATACTTTGACAGGGAAAGTACAGAAAAGGGGTAAGAATAAATTACAGGAAGATCCATTAGAGAACCCTTAGGGAATCCGTTAGCATCACCCTTGAGAAAAGCCCAAAACGTCATCCTTTGAGAAACGCTAGCACCGACCCCGTAACGAGGCTAAAACGAGGCTGTAAAAAATAAAGAAAGCAAACGAGAAAGCCAAAAGAAAAAAGTGAAGGGGTCCGCGTTATCGTTTCCAAAGGGCATGCTAACGCATTCCCTAAGAATTTCCCAATAGATCTTCCTGCAATTCGTTTTCATGTTTGCCTTTTTTATATATATATAATGCCTGATGGCACTGCAGCTTCCCAATAAATGAAAGAAAACATTTCGGTAAATCTACCAAAGGTATACGCTGTGTCTCATGCTCAATTTTGTTTTTATCACATTGACTCACACTGAGGCGGTGCTGCATTTAATTTGCCTCTCAGGCCGCACTAAGACGCACATCTTGATCATCAAAAAGAGCTGTAGCCGCAGTGAAATGGTAATTGCATAGTGCACAATAGCGAATCATACTGATCAACTGAGCTTGCACATCAGTGTTAACTGCTGTACTGAACAGCGAGTAAAACGGGGAGTGTTGGTTGTCAGGGCGACATCCCGTCCAAGGCGGCTCGCAAGGAGACCGCCGGCAGCAATCCGCGAATGCGCACTCCGGAGTCGCAGCTGCCAGACGGCGGCGTCGGCGTGCGCTGCGTGTGTCCCGAGGAGTTCCACCCACTCATATCCGGGTCGGTTAAACGAAGGCCCTACCTGCCTCAGTACCCGCCCAGAATCCTAGTCCAGTCGGCGGACGAGGTGGGTGCGCTGGCATATCTGCTGCCCTGGCACCACCCCACGTGACAAGGCACTCGAGCACTGCATCGTCAACGTTTCTCACGATCCCGGCACACAGGGCGCTGACAAGAGGCAGCCCGACACCTCGTCGACACCATGCCACGCGTTTCACACCAAGCACGAGCGCAAAAGTGCACCGTCACGGCGCTCGTCGTCTTTGCGCGTTGGCTATCAATGGTTCTGGCTCCGAGTTGAGGGAATAAACGATGTTCATATTTCTCGAAATATTTGGCGACTGGCATTGCCTAGAAAGAAAAACTAAGAAAAGTTTATACAGTTATGAACGTTAGGAAGTGATTCTAAGTAGTAATTAGCAAAATCAGAAAAATCGTTTCGTGGCTTCTTTAAAACCCCCTGGCAACCCCTGTCACGTAAAGAATATCTGGAGCAAAGAACACCAAAACCCAACTGTTCTTTTTTGTAAAGGCCAGTTACCTTACGGGGAATATCCGCACGCACTCCGACCATTTTGTGTATGGCGTCCTTGTGATTGGCGGTACGGTCGGGGAGAAATCTTACCCCGTACTTACTAAACGAGCAGTCAAGTCACTAACAAAATGACGCCATTCCTATATGGTATTTCCGGGTGGTTCTTCGATTAAAGTCTTTAATGTTCCTGCTGCATCACACGCTCAAAAGAATGAACTCAAAATGTAAAAACAATTGAACATGTATGCATTGAGTTTAGATATATCATGACGCCACCAAGGAAAACATTTGACACTAAGTTGCAGCATAAGTGTGCAAGAATCAACTGGCGGGACCCGCGTGTTCTTTGAGTAGTTACAAATCGAATTTATTACTACTGTGAATTGATTTTTTTACTAGTAACAAGCAAACACGCATGACGATGCACATTTTGCGGTAATGACGTCAAATCTTCTACTTCATCAATTTTCAGAAATTACCAGCCATCTTTCATAAACGAGTTCTTATGACGATGTTGGCACAGTCTTTGCGGTGCCGGCTATACACCATTAGAGTTCGTGATTTTATGTCTAAAGAAAAGGATTTAAGTTGTAGAATACTCGTAGCAAATCGAGCTCTGCACGAGATCTATATTAATATATATAGGCGTAATTGATACTCGGTTTTACAGATGGGGAACTTCTCAATTTTAGCTTGACGTATCACACATACTCGTAACATTTGTAGGGTATCATGGCGCGCCTCACCTGGTATCGATCAACTGCCGTATGATTTTTTTTCTTTTTTTTTTTTTTTGCTATGCATTAACGCATGTTTTTGACATCACACCAAAAAACAAGCTCAGATTATTCGTGTAAAAAATCGTATTCCTTTGCATTTGTAGTTCCGCGTTTGCCCATATCACATTTGCACAAATGCCCATATTCACATATGGCTACGTTATCGCCTCCCAAACTTCGGTGGTCTTACTGGTCATCAAAATATACGCCCCCCCCACACACACACACACACACCCTTAACCCGTTTCGTGCCCGCGTGCCGGTGACGCCTTTGCGTATTTGTGTTCCTTGGTTGCAGATCATCTTTTGATTTCCCAAAAAGAGTGCTTGCATGTACGTCCTGGCTCAGACGCAGTTATATGCGGCAACCTCTGCAAATCTCAAACTTTGTTGTCCGTGTAGCGTTTATGCTTTCTAGCAGTGGTGACATAAGCCAACTCAACAGGCTTGCAAAGACGGTGCGACCGGAAGTCGCTCGGGACGCAAGCGGCAGTTCATGTTTGTAAACAGCAAAAGGGTCTATACAAAATGGTTGATGAAATAAAAGTAAATGCACTGTACCAAAACATTTTTTTATATATTAAAGACTTCGTACGGCTGCCGTTGCCGCAGCAGCTGATGAAACCGCAAGCTTTACCAAGAAACGCATGCGGGGAGCGCTACGTGCTCCGCATTGTTAGCGTTCCAAGTGATGTCACTCCCCACTTGGTTCTCTGCCGTCGCCGCGGCAGCTTATGCAACCGCAACCTTTACCGAGAAACGGATTCGAGGAGCGCTACGTACTTATCATCGTTCGCGCGCGACTTATCATCTATCACGTGGTTTTGACACTTGGTTGGTGGTTTTCACATTGAAACAAGTGTCAAAACCACATGATAGATGATAAGACGCGCGAGAGAAGGATGATAAGGCGCGTGCGATGATTTTCTGTTGACGCACACGAAAAAAACACGACCATGACTCGTTGGTCGTATTTTTTGACAGCTTCGATCGCTGTAAAAAAATAACAGAATATACTTAACTGTCACCTAAATTTGGTGTTGGCTATAATAGTTTCACTTTAAGTTCGACTGCAGCCGACGTTACCATCCGATGGCGCAGTCACGGCTCTCGTTACCGTTGTACGTTCTCTATGACCGGCTTACCCAATCACGAGCAGTGAACACGCCGTGACCCTCCACTTTGTTTTGTGCGTGATTGGTTTAGCAAACGCACAAAGAATGCGAGCGCCGTGGCAATGCACTATTAACCGCTCCTTGATTGGCTCCACCAGAAAGCAGTGCCGGCTGCGGACGGACTTAAACTGAAAAGGATTATATTCCTACGTCAACTGAGCCTGGCACTCGATCAATGCGAATGGAAACTGATCACGAGCGCTTCTAGTAATCGCGAGCAGTTTAGGTCAGTCATCGCGCGTGGCGCGTGTATACCTCGCGTCCCCCAACTCCCTTCGCGTGTGACTGTGACACATTGCACCCGGTTGTAGGCCGCGCTCGCACTTGCACTGACTCTTGCCCCCCTCGCCACCTGCAATGGAGGTGTTTCTCCAACAGGTGTCACTCGACCTGCTCGACGACAAGGCCAGCTTCAACGAGAACATCGAGCGCCAAGAGATCAGCACGCTCGTGCGCACCCGGATGCAGGACCTGGGCCTGCCGGTCCAGGACTACGGTGAGAGATGGAAGGCGCCCGATCAGCTGGCTCATTTGGGGGTAGATCGGTCCGGTAGCTCCAGTAACAAAAGAGAGTTTTAGGGAACCGTTTTTGCACATACGATACGGTACGATAAGCCCTCCGGTACGAACTGCGCATGTGATACCGCAGAAGGCTTTTGCATGCGCAAGTCGTACTGGACGGCCTATCGTACAACATCAAATGTGCAAAAACGGTTCTCTAAAACTCCCTAAGACCCGATATTGATATATTGCGTGCGTAAATGTGCCGGAGGAGTATCGGGTACCGTTACCTGGATTATTGGAACAACCTACTAAAACTACCATTGCAATCGCCGCCTTCTGCGTGCTGCCATCTTTGTCTATGAGGCTGGGAAACGTGTTCTGGGCATGCGCAGTTGATCTCGTCTGCAGAGCATCAGTCGCTTCACACGCGTCCACAGCCCCGTGATTCCACATTTTTCGTTTGTATGATAAACGGTGGAAAGATGTTTTGGCGCTGTACTTCGTTTCATCGTAAAATAGACGTTGAAAATCTCAGAAATCTATCTGAGCCGCCATATATACTCTCCTCCATCATAACTTGGCAAAGAAAGCTACGGTGCCCACGAGCCAACCGGATTGTCGGAGCAAGGCACGTGACAACGTACCGTTGGACTGCACTCCTCCAGCTGAGAGCTCCGACGCTCTTACTGGTCCAAGGGGGTCGTGGGTTTCTCCCTTTATCCAGTTAAGCTCTAAAGGACGCAGCACTATGCAGTACACGACGGAGCATAACTCATGGCACGGGCCGGGAGGCGTATTGACTTGAATGGCTCGCCTCCGCATATGGGTAAATGTGTGAATAGGGGACTCAATTGCACGATTCAAACCCCACTATGTACAAAAATAGTACGGACACGTGAACACTAATATTGAAACGTTACGTACTGATAACTCGCCTAATAGTTTGCTACTCACTGGTGCCAGGGGCAACTGCCTTCTTCCAGGCGGGTTTGATAACCATATATGTTTTAAAGCGGGGGTAGTAACATATTTCCCATTTTCTCCATAGTTCACACCACCACGATTTGCTCACGTTATATTTGACGCCTTATTTTTACCTGAGCACAATTGTATGCCCACATCGAGAGACAAAATGTTTATCAAATTAGTGCAGGAAACTAGCTACGCTCGATTAAAAAATAGTTTAAAATGTTACGGTGTTAAATAATGCTCTTGTCTACTTTCCAGATGAAGTCTCAGACAAACGGCACAGCCTGTCATATGTGATCATCAACCCTAACTGTGATTTACCACTCGAGGAGGGCGATATCATGTGAGTATTTCTACAGAAAACTTTGATATCTTCTTGCCATTCGGATCAATCAAATTTGGCGCACCGATTTCGGACCGGGGTCTGGATTGAGATGCAAGCATAGAAATATAAAAACTCCAGATGTCAGCATGAAAAACTCAGATCTATAACCCCATCTGGAACTTTTGGATGTAGATCCTCCGAATAGAAAACCCTCGGGTAAAAAGCTTGAAATCTGGAACATTCAGATTTGAAATCTCCCTAGTACTGGAACTCCAGATCTCAAATCCTCAGTTCATAAAAAAAACTGATCAGAAAACCCCTGATCTGGAACCATAAATTATTGCGATTCCTGCTCTGGTGCGTTTCAAAATCTTATAGCTGCTGGAACCACCAAATATGTCTGGCAGTTCTAGATCTCGTGCTATAAGATGTGGTGGTCTCGAGAAACACCCCATCTGATGCAATATGGTCGGTTTTATCAGATTCACGTAGGTTTACGAAATCCGAAACCATCAGATCCGGGTTCACCGGATTCGGACGCGACCTGATATGAACCCGGTTTGTTTCGTGCTCCTTCCACTCGTACTCACAGATTCCTGATTCGACCCAGCCCAATCTCGAGCAAGCGCATCTTTCTGAAGCACGGCTCCGTGCGCATCAAGTCTCCCCGGCCCAGTCGCCGAGAGAACAGTCGTGATGGAGGTGGCGCCGCTGCTGCTAGTGCTCGTAGCCGCGCATCTAAGACGTCGTCGTTCAGGCTCAACTTCTCGTCGCACAAGTCAGAGTCAGTGCCGCTGCAGGAAAATGGCGGCCTCACACCGCCGCATCAGCAACGGATACAACGCCAGGAGCAGGATACCTCACTCCAGGTGTGTTCTAAAAAACGCCGGTGGAGGAGATTGTTAACGCGTGCCGGTCTATTCGCGCCACTGTGTGTTCTGGGACAATACTGAAACCTCTGGCAGTCTCGAATGCCATGGTGGAACCTCCATGCTTTGTTTCAAACCCGTGGCCAACCTTGTGCAATGAGCCGAACCGGGCAGACAAAACTTGCAGAGCCTGTTGGCGAGCTAGAAAACGGGCCGGCATTGTACTTTTGCCTAATAGATTGCGTGCTCGTTGATAAAACAAATAAAATATGCGTATACCAACACGTCTGTCGTGTTCCTACCGGTCGTAATTCATCAACAAGTAAAACCTGCCTAACGTAGATTTTTTTTTTTGTTTGTGTGTGTGTGTGTGTGTGTGTGTGTGTGTGTGTGTGTGTGTGTGTGTGTGTGTGTGTGTGTGTGTGTGTGTGTGTGTGTGTGTGTGTGTGTGTGTGTGTGTTTGTGTGTTTGTGTGTGTGTGTGTGTGTGTGTGTGTGTGTGTGTGTGTGTGTGTGTGTGTGTGTGTGTGTGTGTGTGTGTGTGTGTGTGTGTGTGTGTGTGTGTGTGTGTGTGTGTGTGTGTGTGTGTGTGTGTGTGTGTGTGTGTTTTAACAGGGTAGACATCAGTCAGTCAAAAGATGTGACTGGCTCAATTTTTTCCCGGCTAAGCGGACGCTGAAAACATAGAGGCTCTAATAGAATAAAGCAAATTAGGAGGCTGGCAAAAAACACGGAGCTAGCGTCCCGTTGCTATCATTCCTCCTTGCCGTGATAAAAAGTCACAAGTTTCGAAGCTCGGAGTTTCGTGTCTGTCCGTCCCTTTTTGTCCCCTCGCTCCACAGTTACCATGTCTATCCTTAACCAGCTCGCCCGCCTACTCGCTTTAACTACGATCACCGTCGTCCGTGTTCCATGAGTTCAACATTGGAAAAATCGTAACCCGAAATGCGAAATGCAATGACCTGCGCACTTCCCGCCACTTTAATGAGCGAGCAAAGCACGCATATATTAATATACTCCATTGACCCCTATGCCTAAAGGCAGTGAAGGCTACAGGCACAAGATTGCGGCTTTGACTCGTTCTTCCTCAAACCAAACGCCCGCTCGTGTAGCCTCGCTGTCCCGTCAGCCTAGATGTGAACAGATTATAATAACAGAGCGGACATAAATTTGCTAAACAGGCGTATGAAATCTGTCGATTAAACAAAATACAACGTATCACCTGCACGAGCTGTGAGTAAGTCAACATATCATCTTTCAAATCCACAACTTTGATGGGCGGTTCGAAATGAATCTGATGCACGCTCGCTGCTAGCTCGCGTTCAACCCTTTCACTCATTACGTTTTTTTTTTTTTTTCTTTATTTATCGCAGTCCGAATGCAGCGTCCACGTGACAGCCGCGACACCCTCAGCGACGAGCCATGGGACGATTGTATGACGCCAGCTGAGGTTTCCTCTGGCGTGGAGGGCGCGCCATGGGGTGAACTGACCTCTTCCGACCCTCGTCGCACAGACGGAACACGCCCAGATGACCCTCGGCCTACGAGCCCTAACGCACGTTTCCGCAAGAACTAACTGGAGCTGCATCGGTGCCTAGGGAACCTGCTCCGATGACTCAAGCAAAGGCAATTCCGGTAGCTCGTGTATCGACAACATGCTGCAGCGTCGCCTTGAAGTTGGTGCTTTGTGAAGGAGGCGTGTACGCTCGTTACTAATTCAGCTCGTTCTGCTGTCCAGATATCGTGCACGAAGCAGCTTACTTTCGCAGCTCTTGCCGAATGAACCTTGTGGTCTGATGCTGGTAAATATCAAGGTTCTCACTTGGAGACTGAGGACCGCTTAGTTTGTTTTCGGCAAGGACACCATGACGTGTCCCCGTCAAACGCAAAGCGGCGCTGTTTCTGCAGTTAAAATCTCTTTTCGTGTTTGTGTTGGCGCTTTCGAGGAAAGAGCTTCGGTTTTAATTAGGCGATACGGTAGTTGTGTGGGTGTATGGTGCACGTGGGTCGTTGCTCCCAAGAAGTGGGGTGCATGTGATACCAATTCAGGGAGCCTCGAGGACTCCGGAAATGTTGCGGAGAGTTTATGTAAATATGGCGCAGGGGGTGCGTCCACCAAGTGGCGCGTGCGCTCGAGAACGTAATCCCAGACTCCCCAATTGTTAACTAGGAATGATACTCGACACTTTGTACACTTGTTACGAGCTGAGAGGGACGATTCTTGTCGATATGGATGGCCCCGGTCCCTTCTTGTTTCGCGCTGATGTTGATTTTTTCGGCCTTCCAGTGTTCTGTAATATATCCTCAGAAGGCGTTTTCCTACTTTACAGTGTTTGCTCTAGTCATTTTGTGATCTCTGCCAAATGTACAACACAATCTATTGTTCACTCGGAGCGGGTTTAAACGACTGACGGCCGTTCAAACACTTTAGAGCCTTTCCACATCAACAAGCGACCGACACTACCCCGTCAACTTTTGGAGTATACGATGACCACGGTTTCTGCAGGTTGTGCATGCTTGGGGGGAGGGAGAGGACAGGGGGGGGGGGGGGGGGGGGGGGGCTGATTTCAGAAACTGCCACACCAGTAGCAACCCCGAGTTTTGTGATCTCTCTGACATCTTCGATAGTACACAATCTTCGTTCCGTCAACCTGTGTTCGTGATGGTTGTCTACGGAGGGTGTCGCCAGTGGTGCGTCGAGTGTTGCGCTTTGTAAGTACTCAGCACGCGTTTTTGGTGAGCTTTAGGGCTCGCATAAGCTATTTTATTCTTAAATGAAGATCTCTCTGCTCTCTCTTTGCATCTTGCTAGTCTGTTTTATGAGAGTGTAAGAGTCAGGGTTGTTATTTTATGAAATACTCTTAATCAACTCGGGTGACATCTGTCAGCGTGTCATCAGCACTAACACAACATGAGGGAATGGGAGCGCGAAGGGGGCTTTTCATTTGCAAGCATTGAGGAAATTGTGGCTCCCACCTCTCGTACGAAAGACGTTTTGAAGACTACGCTTTGCGTTGGTGGAGAAAGGGAACTACCCTTTGTTTTTTTGTTATTGTGTAAGTGTCCGCCGTGCATTCCTTGCGCTTTGCCTGACCAAAGCGTTTTCATCGCGCATTAGAAATTAGAATACACTTTTTTTATTACAAGTGAAAAAAAAAATAATAGTAGTTCAGTATCGAGACGACTATTGAAAAAGTACAGTTGTAAATCATTCGTTTGAAGTGAAACAAATCTGCTTTCGCAGGTTACTTCAACCATTATCGATATTGCAATGGCTCAATTATTTTATTTTTGTCATACATACGAGCTTTGCTATACATTTTGTCATATCTGAAACCTAACGCATTATTATTGCTGGAATGAGTACTCGTTCAGTTCCAGAAGCTGAAGAGTCTTGTTTTAGTTTTCTAAATGAGAGATTTGAGAAAAAAAGGAGGTACTGACGCAGAGATTTCTCTAATGTATGATCGTTTTCTTCCGTTCCGAAAACTGCTTTTAAATAACTTAAAATGCTAGACGCTTCTATATTCTTCACATAGCTGCCATTAGAAAACCAGCCGATGTGTGTTCCATCGTCACAAACAAATCTTATGTAGCCTTCCGAAGAAAAAAAAAGGACTAAACCACACGGAAAACGTCTTTGTACAGCTATTCGCACTTTCCAGCGACGCAGTTCCCTTCTCGCGGATTTCAAGTCAACTGCTCAGGAGGGCCCATTCCATAAGCGTTGTATTCAAATGGATTTGTTGTTGTTGATGTTGTTGTTATGTTTCTTTTTGTTGTTGTTGCTTTTGTTTTTTTAGAAAAGGGGGGGGGGGGTTGTTTGCTGACGTTTTAGGCAGAAGTACTGAGGTAGTGTAAGTTATTACCCGTCTGGATGTCTGAACCACGAAGTCGTCATTATAGCAAATTCGCGCTCGGTTCCCAAAAGCCAGTTACGCGGGAACGGGGCAAAACGCCACTGGAATGTGTGAGGATCTGTGAAAAGCGAGGATCCGGACTGTCAAACTGTTTGACCTAGCCTCAAACTCCGCTTAAGGTTTAAAACAAAACGTATTACTTTTTTTTCTTCTTCTTCTTTTGTATAGAACTTGCAACAGCACCCCGTATCACAACCTAAACATGCTGGAAATACCGAAATGCTCAGAATGGTTTATCTCTGGGATATGACGTCTGCCTTTTTCGCTCATAAAAAGGTTAGCCCAATACGTCCCTTGAAGGTGCGAATATGCTGACGGACGAGGTATGTTTTCTTCGCGACTAGTCTTGTGTGACTGTAACCACCGACTCGCTTTTAAATGCTCGAAAACAACCGGCTGGACGCTGTTGTTTCTACCCGTTAGCGTTGTGGTAAGCTTGTGTGAGTGGACCAAACATTATGTCTCAGCAGTATCGCAGAGACGACATGGAACAGTTCGGTGACGTCCTCCTTTGTCGGACTTTCGAGTGCAGAGCTGACGAGAACGACTCGTTCACCGACTGTACCATGCACAGCAGCTTTTTGCGGGTACATTTTCCACCAGCCATGTATATTTACCACGTGCTTAAAGGTACTATTTTTGACTATATTGTTGTATTACGCTAGAAAGTTCTGTACGTAAAAAAAAAGGCAAGCAAAATTGTCATATCATGCAGTGCCCTTGTACATTTTCACGTGTAAAATAAAACGTTTTGATACATCTTCAAGCTGGGTTCAATTTATATTCAAATTGCTGTGCATCAGCATCGTGATGCAGCCCTCTGGTACAATATATTCATGAGGACTGGGTTATGATGAAGACTATGAGAACAAAACTACTGGTATCGGAGGCAGAATATTGCCTTCCGTGGACGAACGATACCGAGCACGCGACATGGAGTGGAAAATAATAGCTTAATGATCATTCAACCTCAAATGCTAGAAGTTTCGGCCTACATTTATTAAACATATAGCCTTCACAGTTTCATGAAGACCAAAAGCCCTTATACGCCCCTAAACAGTCTAAACTCTCTCCTGTGTCTTTTTTTCTTGTGACAGCTCAGATAAGGAGACAGTGCAAGCGAGTACATTGCGTGTGGACGTCAACTTCGCTATTGTAATCAATAACGAACATTGGGACTCCTGGCCGGTTTGCATAAATAAGAGACATTGATCTTCGCGTCTGGGCACACCTCCCTGTCATTTGAGACTGAACGTCAGGCTCCGCGACACCTCCCTTAATAGGTATTCTTAGACCACAACAACAATAACGACAAGCCAGACACCACGTCCATCGAGAACACGAAAAAGAAACGAAGTTGTTCTATGACGACAAGAGCCTAGAGGCGAACAAGGGCGGGATACACATTCGGTCCTCTAGACGCAAGCCATGAAGGTCGGCGTCCGCAGCTTTTCGACAATGATCATCTTTGCCCCACCGAGATCCAAGCTACTCTCCCAGCTCGAGATGCTCTTCAAACCACTGATCTACAGCTTCGGTTCCCTCTCCGGACCGCGAGGAGTTTCTGTTTCGCTGAGATCACGGCTAACGGCTTACACGACAACCCTAGTCGTACTGACGACTCTGACATGCCACTTGGCGCTCCTAATCATGTCGCTTTCGCGAGGCTTCGAACACGCTTCGATACGACGAGGATGCACCTGTGTCCGTCTGGCGTGCAGCTTGATCATCGTGGTGCTGCTGATTCGCCGAAGCCACGAAGTTATCGCATTCAAGTCTCGTCTCGTGTCCCTGTACAGCCATCTGCCTGCCCTAGACCCGTCCAGCGTTCGACTGGGAAAGGCCAAGCTCGTCGTCTGGTGCACCGCCGCGTTCGTCTACTTGCAGATCAGCTACGCGACGTTTCAGGGTTTCTTGCCCGACACGAACGAAGAGTCGATGGCCGCCTACTTCAAAGAGCTGTGGTTCGGGCTAGACAACAAACACTTCCCACCGCTTCTCACCCGGTGTCTCTGGAACTTGGAAAATTTCGTGTTCCATGTCACCACCGAAGCCGTCGTTCGCGTGCCCGTCTTGTTCTACGTGGCCGCCTGTTTCTTGCTGAAAGCGAGGCTGCGGGACTTCCGGCTCATGCTGGGAAGACAGCGATGGAAGCAATCGATGACTAAACTCACAACGCTGACAGTTAAAGAGCTCCGCGACCTGCAGCGTCTCCACGGGATCCTTACCGAAGCAGCTCAGCAGCTTGAGGATGTCTTCTCGCCCATCATCTTTTGCTCGTACACAACTTTCGTGGTACATATCATCGCGTCCCTTTACAACATCTTCGACCGGAACCTCCTCTACTTCTCGGGCGCTCCTGGTAAAATCCACTTGATTCGCCAGGTTGAGGTCTACTTAGAGTTCGGCCTCACCGTCTGGTTCTTCTTGCTGCTCACGGTCGCAGCGGCGTTCGTAAACGACGAACCGTCCAGGTTGCTGCCCGTCGTTGAGAAAATGATCCTCGACGTCGACGAGTTGTCCGTGTCGTCGAGTTTCAGGGCGGCGTTCCTCTTGGCTCGGTTCTCCAGGCCCTTTGCGCAACTCACTGCCTGGAGGGTCTGCGTGATCTCGCGAGGCCTGGTGCTCACCGTCATGGGCGCGTTTCTGACATATGGTGTGATTTTTTTTCAGTTCGTCCACCTCGGCAATAGCGCCGCAAAGTAAGCAAGCCCGTTCGGCTGCGTCCGCCCTAAAATGAACCATCAGCATGTTAAGCACCGTCTATTAACCTATACCGTCTTGCACCAAAGTAAACGTAAGATCATCACCAGTGCAAAACGTGTATCTTCGGATCCCTAGGTCAACGTTCTAAAGTAACTAATTATAAGTTTTACAGCTCATTAAATGTACCGTGAAACGATATTGGATGTGAACGTCATGCGTACATTATTTTTCTTGTCCGTCCTAAACTCGAATATGTTTCAGCTGCCCAGGATCTATAACAGAGTTTCTTGGAGGCTGGACAAAACAGAGTTAATTTTTTTTTTTGTGATTACGATGATATCTCGAAAGTGATATTCATGAAAGGTACGTACAGTCTTCTGCAATATTAAACACCATGGAAGGACCCACTGGGAGCGCGTGGCCGGGATAGCGGCAGGCGGGGACGCTGCCCGCGCGCCGGGCGATTCCATTCTGCGTCGAGTGGAGGACACTCACTCGGTGCTCAACCAGGCCTGAACGCGCGTAAAAGTTCAGTTATTCACCACATTCGGTGGGAGTTGATACCACGAGGGCGCCACAGTATTTGGTGCCCCAGTAGACTTCCGGTAGTGTATGTATTTATTCTTCAGCAACGCTCAGCGGGCGGGTAAGAAGAGTTCCTTCAGAGATATTTTTGTAGTATGTCTGTAAGAACATTAGTGCATCGTACAAAGTAGTGCAAATAACAAAAGGAGGAGGGACAAATGGAAAAGAAGAGGAAAACCGGAAGCGCGCAGGGGTTCGCCGATAGGGGGTGGTAATGAGCTTGTTTGCAAACAAACATCGGTGAATAGTACGATACAAAGTTTATGGATTCGCCACACGGATATATGTGGTGACGTTGAGTGCAGCAGCGTAGCGGAAAAAGTGGGACTTTGATTGGCTGGCGAGCGGGAACTCGATATCTGCGACCAATCAGTATCGGTGTCCGCTGCGCTATTCGCCGCGTTTGCTGCGCTCGACGAGCGCGCCTCATGGGCTTCATGCCAAGATATATGGCCACGAAAGCTTAAAACAAGCATAGTCATCGCATGTTTTATTTTTATTTATTTTTTTTACAGCCAAGCTGTTAAAAAAATTTTTCATATTATTTGTTGGTCATATGGGAAAAGCGAGTGCATTTTCTCCCTGTGCTTGATTATAGGAGAAAATATCACGAATAATTAGTATGCACTAGGTATTTTGGAACATGCAGGCGAAAAAATTCGTCAATTACATTGACTTCAGGCAGACGAAAAAATTCGTCAGTTACGACGTTTTTATTTCAAATTCATGACATTAAAAACGGTTCTAAAACGGCTTTGTACATGTATTTATGTGCACTGTCGGACACTGTTAGCGCGAACACGGTGTCGGCGCTTCTCAGCATTGGGGGATATACGTGCCAAACGAACGAAGGACATGTGGAAGACCGAGAAAGACGACTAGAACTACGCAATAACACTGGATCAGTAGCTATTTATGCAACCAGACGATAAAAATAAATTGAAGACCGCGTAATACAGTCGGATTCGAAATAAATAAGTACCGCTTTATTCTTTATGCTCATGAATATGTGCGAAGATGCTTGTTCTGCGTTCAAGACATCCCCCGCACGCTCGAAATATTTGAAAATAGGGAGAAGCCAGGAGAAGAAGTGCCCGATAAAAGCTGCCCGACATAGGAAATAATAAAACGACACACCTTTCATAGCCCACATACTTTATTCTTTACGTTTCGAATGTTTTTTTTAACCACTCGTAAAGATGCACGACGGGAGGATATAAGCACCACCGGAATGCTGGCGAACCTTGAACACACTCTATCTTTCTTTGGATTGCTATTTTGCTTAGAATCGTCGCTTGTTATTACATACCTGCTTTGGAACAGAGGTTTGGGCCTGAAATACAGCGAAGCTAACCGTCGTTCCCTGATGAAGAAAACTACACTATATTAAGCAATTACACGTTTACAATGTCAACAAAGGTACAGTACATACTATTTCGTACGACCCAAATAACAAAAGAGTTTCATTTCATTTTCCGGTGAAGAGACAAAATGCACGCGCGTTTTCCCATAGGAATGCACAGGAGGACCGCAAAAGTAAACTGGTTGCTGGTTGCTTCTATTTGCCTCCCGGAAGTCGCGTAGACATCATTTGAACCTTTAGCGAACATTATAATAATTCTAAGACGGCCTCGGCCACGCGCTCTCAATGGGTCTTTCACATTGCAGGAAACTGTACCTCGTCGTTGCATTATCTCTCCTTACGCGAGCTTTATTGTTTATGCCTGTTTGACAAAATATATATTACCAACTCTCGAAGACGAGTCTATACTGCTAGAACCACCCTGTTTACCACCACGCGACAATCACGTTGACGAAGGCAGAGTCACAATAGTTAATACAGATCATTCATACCTCATACATGTTGGCTGAAATCGTTTTGTCAAACCCATGCAACAGTTTTCATGATTTCAGGAGTATTGCCAATAGACTATATTGACCTGTTTTGTGACGGTTTTGTCCTGTTTATGTGCTACTTTGTCTCATTCCCTCTTATCACTGTAGTGTCCTCGGAAACTGCAGATGGTACAAAGATATTAATAAACAAATGTATAAATGTATAAGCTATATTTTCTGCGTTAATAACAGAACCACTGTTCACGTTCGCAGCTCGCGTCGACGTCCTGGGAGTTTAAAGGAGCATTAAAGAGATTTCTGATATCGTATTTTTCTGGCGAGAGCCCAATCTACACGTTCCATGCGTCGGAAGAACCCAACATTAGGATCATGCGCGGCCTATTGTCCTGTCAAAAGCGTGATGAAATATTATGTCGATCCTAGTGACTGAACGTGTTTGGGTAATTTTGTTACCTACAGACATCGATGCCTTTCGGTAACCAGCAGTGCCGGTAGAAGTAGCTGCCGCTAGGCGTTCACGAAGAAAAGCTGTGTTCTAAGTTCAAGTTTCACTGATAAGTTCATTAAGTCCGATAAAACCAAGGCTCCGAGGATAGAAAATCCGATACAGCAGGTCGA